TCTCTCATAATCCAAGAGGGTGAATATCATGGCGGAAGCATGTGGCAGAGGGAAGCAGGGAGATTCCGCTCTCCAGATGCAAAATATACACCCCAAAGCCCCGTCCCCAATGCCACTTCCTCCAGCCACACCCCACCTGCTTCCAGTTACCACTCAGTTAATGCCAACAGGGGATTAATTCACTAACCAGGTCAAGACCCTCGCGACAACCCAATCATTTCTCCTCTGGACATTTCGGCCTATCTCACACGTGAGCTCTTTTTAGGAGACACCTAATATCTGAACCATGACACAGAACAACCTTTCCTCTTTATACGTGGATTATCTCAGGTGTCTTGTCACAGTCCCGGAGAGCTGGCTGGTGCACATTCCAAGCTGGTTCCCGAGCTCTGGGATGATCAGCTTTGCTGTTCTCCCCAAGCCCAGGCTGTCCCTGCTCCTTCCTCTTGGGTCCCCTAATTGCAAGTCCCCGATGAAAGCATGCACATGCAGACGCTGGCCAGCTGCAGGGGTGGGGTCACTCCCATCCCGCCAAGCACGGGAAGAGCCTAAGCACTCAAGGACTGGAGAGCACTGCTCGCCTGCCCTGCACCTGCAAGGCCCCTTGGGTCTGCAGGGTGACTCCAAGGCACTGATTCAGCCCTGTGAAATCACCACCAGGATGAGTCACCGAGGATTTCCAAAGTGGCCTCCCTGCAGGGTGACCGATATCTCTCTGGGCCTCACCCGTAAACTATCCAAATAACCACCTCAGAGGAGGGCGGTGCGTCATGCACGCGCTGCAATTCAGCCCAGGGACCTGTGCACCTTAGTAGGACTTTGGGGACACAATTTCCTTCCTGTGGGTCAGTGAGGGAGGATTTCTCAGTGGGCACCAGGGCTCTCTGGGAAGATGCAGGTCCCATAAAGGATTTAGGGTCCAACATGGAATCCCCCGGGATTCCCAGGATTGGGTCTTTGTGGAGTCCCCGTGTGCGGAGCAGGATGGGACGAGAATGAGTTATGGGAGGGAAGTTGATCTGGGGCTCATGGTGTCCAAGGTCCAGTCCCTGGTGGCCAACTCCATGGCTCTGGCCCAAGGGGAGCAGAACAAGATGGCGGCAGGGCCTGGAGGAGGAGAGCAGCTCAGGACAGGGCACCAGGGAGCAGAGAGAGCTCTGCCCACCAGGGACAGGACAGAGACC